CTCCAGGCGGGACAGTTTCTGCTCCAGCGAGGACGCCGCCATCTTCCCCCCGGAGCCAGCGCCGCCTCGCAGCCAGAATACACAAACACCGCACTGCGCAGGCGCGGCATGAGCCCACCGAGCCGCCGTAAGCCTGAAGAGCAGGCGCGGGCTTGAACCTGCTGCGCCGCCGTAACTTCGCCACACACCCACCACCGATGAGGGACGTTGGCACGCATGCGTCATCGTCCGCGCCCCCCCTATCCATTGAGCCGAGTCCCACGGACTGGTAAGGAACCCTCACGGGCCGTGGTGATCGCGCAGCGTCATCTGCTGGCAAAGTCCTTGCACTGCAGGTGCCGCTGGGCCTCCAATAGCTGAAGACTCCACTGCGCATGCGATTCTGGTGCCCTCTTGTGGCTGTTATTGGGTATTTCAGTCGACTCGGCCTGTCCCAGGCAATTCTTAGTGCGCACGCGCCCCTGCCTACCTGGCTGGGAGGATTCCTGGGCGTGGCCTTTAGGGAGACCCTTTTCCGTCCCACGTTCCCCTCCTCCTGCAGCCTGGGGACCCTGCTCCTCCCCCCCTTTCCTGCAACTTGTAAACTCTCCCCTGCCCGGGGACGCTGCCCCTTCCTGCTCCTCCCCCAATCTAGGGACTCTAGCCCTTCCCCCTCAACTTTCCCACCCTGGAGATGCAGCTGAGTCTCACCCTAATGCCCATCTGGTGTGGCAGATCTTGTGTGGGTGGGGGGCAGCCCCAGTCTACTGGCATGAAGAATCCCTATAAATCTCCTGATTCAGGTGCCCTCCACCTCCTCTGTCAGGGAGTTGGGTCCCAAATAAACCTCATGTCCCCTAGCAAAATGGGGAGAGCGAGAGCGTGTGCATCATAGTGCATGTCACATAATAGCAAGACAGGTTGTGGCTCAGGGCCCCAAAGCCAGGGTCAGAATGGAGCAGACCAGTCTGAGCCACCTGAGGGGATGCTCTAGTACTTTTCATCCAACAGTGGGAGATGGACATGACAGTGGGGGTGAATGATGGAAGAAATGGATCTAAAACTCAGCAGGATCGGAATGAGGTGTCTCTGGTCCAGGTGAGATTCCCCACCTGGCAGAGTGCCTCCAAGTGTGGACCCAGCAATGTCTGATTGGGCTAGTTAAAAATGTGTCTGCTCCCGCAAAGGAGCCACAGAAAGTTGCTGGGCTGGTTGTCCCATCAAGAGCCTGATTTACCAGAGAACTCTCAGCCAGATTTCACCTCATTCGAAATGGGTTCACCCCACCTTACCCTGGGGCGCATGCCCCATGAGGGCTTGTGCTGAGTTTTGTGGGACTGGATCCTGGTGTAGGATTTGGGCCTAGACTGCTTGTCTCACTCGGAGGAGAGCCCCAAAAAGTGCACTAAAATACGACTCTTTATTTTTAGGTTGTGTTAGATATTCCCTTGCTTGTCCTCCTGTGTGCACTTTATACCTGTGCCTAGTGATGCTCTAAGCTCTTGCTGCTCAGTAATTAACCAGTGGAACTCACTTCCACAAAGTACCATTGAAGCTAAGAAGATAGCAAGAGTCAAAGCAGGTTTGGATGTTTCCATGAGTAATAGAAACATTCAGAATTAGAATGACAAATATTATAACAGTGGAGTTTAGGGACAGATTTGCTGCTCCGGTTGGGGTCTAGGAGGAATTTTCCCCTGGTACTGAGGTTATTCCACTGCTCTCCGGATGGTGAGGAGGGAGGCTCACTAGGGTCGGATGCTGGAGGAAGCCAGGCTAGATGGGCCCCTTGCTGCAATGCAACCTGGCAATTCCTATGTTCCATATGAGGATTTCAAGGGGCTGGTGTCCACAGTGATTAATGGAGCCTCCTCTGGCTCAGTGTCCTGTGGTGTGAAAGAGGTAAGGAGCTTATCTGAGCTGATTAGGGATATACAATTCTATTTAATTGGTTAACTTGTTAAACATGTTTATGCTCCATTATGTTTAACCTGTTAGCCAGTTAAAGTGGGAATGGGAGGGGGCAGCTATAGCCATGCTGAGCTGAAGCAGCCCCCATTCCTACTGAGACCAGGCTGGGCTGGCTCCCATGCT